ACTTGGGGTGTATTATAATTACTGTACCTCATACATTTTCATGACCGAAAACCGAATTCTAACTGGTCCATAATCCCGGGACATACCGGTATTTCGTTTTACTGTTTTGGATTTCCTCAAAAACAAAAACAGTAAACGAACCATTAACCGTTTTGTCGTTTTACAGTTTTGTAAAACGGTCAAACGGTATTAAGTCACACACAAGAAATACTTTTTGTTGTTTTTAATTGTAGAAAGCGTTAAACGGTTAGTTGCTTTATTTTTAGAGTTTTGTTTTACAAAATCATGACAATGACAAAACGGTCAATAGTCTTGTCGACCATTTTTTGATTTTAGGTTCGGCAATTAAGCAATGCACCGGAATGTTAATTAATGCGTCCTTGGGATCGAGTCATTGCCTGGGCCCCGCTCCTTACATTTCGTTCTCACGACAAAATTTGCGAATTGGCTATTGAAGAGCCGCGTCGACTTGAACCCCAGTTTCCTTCAAAATGTCTGCAACTTCATCAAACGTTTTATTACCATCCTGTTTCCATTGTGAAAAGTAATGTCCTCCCTTGAAGTTTTCCAGCGCCATTTTGCTTGGAACTCTTTAAGCCCCACCAACTTGACTGAATCGCATGAGAAGGGGGTCAGGGTCCGCGCCAGGAATCACATCACGCATTAATTATGCCGAGGTAACACTTCTTCGTGTAAAACATGGTCCCCCTCCACCCCCTTGCCCACCGCCACAAAATGCACCACGGACTGTTAACCATGACACTGGAATAAAAAAAAAAAGTCTGTATTCAATACTGACTGTTTTGCTGTTTTTCAAAGTTATTTGTGTAATCTGTAAAACAAAAATCATTGATCGTTATGCTATAATGAATTTTACTAAACTTATAAAACGGAGAAACCGTATTTATCTTAATACCGCTTGTCGTTTTATAACACTGTAAAACGACAAAACGGTCGATGATTCGTTTACTGTTTTTGTTTTTGAGGAAATCCAAAACGGTAAAACGAAATAACGGTATGTCCCGGGATTGTCCATTCACCATCACGTGCCAAATGCTATTTTTGCTGTTTACTAAGCGCGCGCGCGAGTTTTCCGCACAGGCTAAATACGCATGCGTAGTAGACTGACGCACGGGTTACCCATGCGACAGTCTACTACGCATGCGCTTTACGAAGCAATCGTGGAACGGTCGCACGGGTGAAGTACGCACGCGCTAACATCGCCCTGGCTAGCTAGCTACACACGTGTGTAGCTAGTGTGCTTACATGAAAAAAATGGTTGCACGCGTAAATGATAAATAAGCGTTTTCCCGAGCTCAATTTTGCCGAATTGGAGAATATTGTGGACAATAAAGATGCCTCTTGTACTAAACAAATAGTGCCCACAAACAATTGTGTTTACAACCGTAATCACTGAATTGCAAACGAACTGAACTTTTCGGAGGTTGAGCAATGTTATTCTTCTGGTGAGCTGGACAAGATTTTCCGAAATTTTGTTTACCCGCCAGGTGCATATTGCAACGGGAAAATCCGGTAACTGAATAAAACAAATACGTGTTTTAACATGTTTTTTTTCGGGTGGATAGTCGATATTCGCTCCCCGAGGTTTAGGAAATACCGTAGTATACTGTTCCATGCCACGCGTTTATCACAGCTTTGCCAATGGGTCTTTCAGAACTATACACCCTATTACATTCTTAATAATTTACATTTAAGGCCGTGGACAAAATGCAACATCGGCACTTTTTTGAATTGGCCAGAACTCAATAAACGTTTGCTCGATTGGAAAGTTGTTTTCTCATTGTTGAAAAACTAATGAATTCTCCAAATGTGTATCGATATTTGTGATGTATTTTGTTAAAAGCTGTGAATAGGGGCTCTTTGATTGTTCAGTTTTTGGGGGGACAACCTGTATAAGGTGTTTAAATGATTTTTGTTGGATTATTTGCTGGAAGAGGACCACGTTTTAAGACTTTAAAGTGGCACGATTTGCTTCCAATGCTTGTTAAATTAAGAGTCGTATGGTGCATCCCTCTAATACAAACTAATAATCACTGATGAGTATAAAACGGCGGGCAAACAAAATTTCGGAAAATCTTGTCCAGCTCACCAGAAGAATAACATTGCTCAACCTCCGAAAACTCTTTTTCTTAACTACACGAAAACAAACTGTATGTCCACACTAGATAGGCTATGTAAGGTAGGCCATTGTGAATGCGTTTGTGACGTTGAAACCGTGCGTGTGTTTTCATATCTTTTGTTACTATCGGGTTTAATCGCATCGCAGACTGACTTACGATGCGACACCGAACGAAAATAACCACAACGTGTTTTAACAGAAAGTCACAATTACATAATATTGGATGGTACAAAGGGAATACAAGAATATGATTGCACGAGCTGTAACAATATTGCAAGAGTCGAAGACAAATTAAATGTTGTTATGCAGAGTGCAATATATTATTGTACCCCTGGAAAAAAAATCCTATATTTATTACTATTTATATCAGGCTTACTTGATCCAAATGAAACAAATCAGTCGTGCCGGTGTCGTGTTATAATCGCTGACTGCATCATTCAGTGCTTGCCAAGCCTTAACTCTACTTTTTGAAGTTGTCCTTCTTTAGTCTTGGTTACCCGGTAACTCCGATTATCTGATCTTTACTTTCGACACTTGGATCTGGACGTTTATCTACATTCAGGTACCGCACGTTAAATAGAATAGGCTATTCATCATTCCCGTTCGTCCAGAATATGAGTGATCCCGGTTGACATGACACAGCAGAGATATTAGTCTACTTCTCATGCATTTCATTGTAACGAAGAGAAACATACGATGGGGAATCTACAGAACGGTTGAACTGTCGCGAGAAATCTAGGGCACAAGTACGTGACGTTACGGATAGGAATAGATGAGAGTTCATTTAGTCAGGTGGTATATGGTAGGAATCGTGACCGACTGTCCAAAGCACCAAACTTGGCAGATAGATTCTTATGTCCATAGAGAAGATATTTAAAAGGGGTGACACCTGAAATTCTTTTGGGAAGGGTGCCTAATTTACATAAATCGTTAATACCTGCCATGTCATAATTATATTTATTCACATATTTTGGGATACTTTTATTTATTTTTATTTTTTTTTGAAAAGTATATTTTGGGGATTCTACTTACACATCCTTACTTCAATACATTTTTTCTAAAGCATATCAGAGACCGGATGATTATTAGGACATAATAAAGATTTTAAAAATGGCTACCATTATACCCTAAAGTTGCGCACATTAACCTTTTCCTCAGATATCATCAAGTAGTCTCGCCAAACATCAGTACTGATGAACTTCAAACTCACAAGGTTTAAGTGCTGGCACTAAAAATACATGGGAAATCGTGTGAAATTTGATAACATCTTGATATTTATCCCAAAACTCAATGGGGGGAGGAACGAGGTGTCAGTAAAGTGGGCATCAAATTGGCGAAGGGTTGCCTAACGTGGGAGACTTGGGCAAGTTTGCAAGGAAATCCCCCAAATAAGAGATTATTGTTGCTTACAATAATTATGTCTACGTCAAAACGTTTTCTTACCAATAATTTTGGGAATTTCCTTGAACTTGTTCAAGTCTTTTACGTTAGGCAACCCTTCACCCACTTTTAAGCCCAATTTACGGAAACGTCGTTTTTCCCCGTGTTTGTTTTCTGGACTAAATATCACAATATAATCGTTGTTCACATGATTTTCCATAAAGTTTTAATAGGGTAACTGTGCCAGTTAGCAACTTGGTGAATTTGAAGCTCATCAATACTGAGGTTTGGCAAAACTATTTGATGATATTTGGAGACAAGGTAAATGCGCGCAGTTTTAGGGTACTGCAGTAACCATTTTGGATCGTTACTTTGTCCTCATAATTATTCAGTCAGCTATATGTTTTAGAAAACTTATTGAAGTAAGGATGTGAAAGTAGAATCACCAAAATATACTTTTCAAAATATCAAAAAATCAAAAATAGGGCCTATACCCAAAAATGGGAACAAATTTTATTATTACACGACGGGCATTTACGATTTATGCAAATTAGGCACCCTTCCCCCCAAAAAATAAGGTGTCACCCATTCCAAATATCTTCTCTAGGGCTATAAGAATCTATCTGCCAAATTTGGTGCTTTGGACCAGTCGGTCACGATCTTGTCAAAAATTGGGTCTAAGCAACCTGACTAATTGGAAGAAAAGTATTAAGACATGAATTTGGGGAGGAGTTGACTGATATTTGCAGAAAAATTGATGACTAGTTTCTAATAAACAAAACACTACAATTTAAAACACTTAAAACCTTGTCTTAAAAAGTTTACATGGTTGAGGGTGAATAGTCGATATTAGCTCCCATCGGTATAGGAAGTTGACAAACTATTTCCGGATGCGTGGCATCCTGAAGAAGTTTATCAACTTCCAATACCTAGGGGAGCTAATTATTACGAGTCTTCTGATGAGGGACTCGAGTCAAGTCGAGTCGAATCAGTTATCCGGTGAGACTCGAGTAGAGCCAATTTAAATTGTGACTCGAGTCGGACTCGATCTCTCTGCCATATTGCAGTATATGCGGTAATACAGTGTTGAAAAGATTTTTTTTTCGGTGTTACAATCAACTTTAAATAAGGTAGGAAATTATTTTACTTTTATGCGTTTTATTTTCGTACGGAGCAAAAACAAGTGCTCAAAATCTACATAAAAGGTCCCCACATTGATTCTTAAGGAGGTGAGAACTAATCTAGCACGTGGGTGAATATAATTAGTAAAAATAATTATCCTTGAACACTAGCACAAGCGCCACACATAATGTCAAATGTAAACATGGTTATGCTTGGAGAACAGTTAAGTATTTTCCATTCAATGTTTCGCTCACGTCAACATAGACCCCTAAACCTAGTTAATAAAATAGACTGTTGATTGGCACGAGCGATTCATCTCAAGAAAGTGAAGAAATATTCTAGTACAACGAAATCTCACCTGAAGGGTCGCTTGACAGATCTGCTTCAATGTCCTATCCTACATGCCTTCCAGTACCTTTACACAACTTGGTCTGTGCAAGCCGATCCGAACTTGGCCATGAGATCTCTTCTCAGAACTGCTCCGTGAAAACTGCTGGGAAAATAGACGACGGGCCGTTTTTATAGTCAGGCACTGCGGCCACCGATTTCGGTGCGTAATACACTGGCAAATCAAAAGACACATCTAAGAAATACAATCCGACAGGCCGACACACTGATTGGTGTATCGTGAACGCAGGAAGTCCAAACGCTATACACGTATCAGCCACTGCATCCACGGTCTGCCGTATGCAAACTGAATATCCTTCACACATTACAATCTCGTCTTTCATGGTTTGCCGATTCGCTATCAGCTATCATCTCCCCAGATAGGCAAGCAATCACCACCTTTAATATCAAGTAATCCCTGTACCAGTGTCACGGAGGAGACGCATGCATCTTCTTTAGAATTGCGACAGGAATGAGCGACAGATCTGTCTCTCCGTGTCCCCCCCCCCCCCCCCGGCACAAATAAAATATCACATGAAAAAAGCTTGAACATGGTTGCGAAATTCTGCCTTTTATTGTGTATTGACGTAACTATCCCATTGTGGATCGATTTGTAAGGATTGCTCCATGTTTGTTCTGTTTTCCCTTCTCCATGGTTGAGTCGACGTGACACGTCCAATCTGACAACTAGTGGCAACCGCCCGATTAAATTTCGAAAAAATCTGGGACAGCAGTTAACGCTAAGAGACTCTCTTTTTTCACTGTTTAAATTCGTTTCTTTCCTTTTTAAATTAACATTACACCAATCCACAAAGTGAAATGGAATGAAGAGCATACGGCGTCAATTTAAGCAAAGATAATGAAAGCAAAATGCGGCCTACTTACGAAAGCCCTGTAGTGCCATCAAGTATATATTTTGTCCAAGTTCGTTTTTATGAGTTATATATTTCGCCAAGTTCGTTTTTATGAGTTATATATTTCGCCAAGTTCGTTTTTATGAGTTATATATTTCGCCAAGTTCGTTTTTATGAGTTATATATTTCGCCAAGTTCGTTTTTATGAGTTATATATTTCGCCAAGTTCGTTTTTATGAGATACATTTTGGCCAAGTTCGTTTTTATGAGTTATATATTTCGCCAAGTTCGTTTTTATGAGTTATATATTTCGCCAAGTTCGTTTTTATGAGTTATATATTTCGCCAAGTTCGTTTTTATGAGTTATATATTTCGCCAAGTTCGTTTTTATGAGATACATTTTGGCCAAGTTCGTTTTTATGAGTTATATATTTCGCCAAGTTCGTTTTTATGAGTTATATATTTCGCCAAGTTCGTTTTTATGAGTTATATATTTCGCCAAGTTCGTTTTTATGAGTTATATATTTCGCCAAGTTCGTTTTTATGAGATACATTTTGGCCAAGTTCGTTTTTATAAGTTATATATTTCGCCAAGTTCGTTTTTATGAGTTATATATTTCGCCAAGTTCGTTTTTATGAGTTATATATTTCGCCAAGTTCGTTTTTATGAGATACATTTTGGCCAAGTTCGTTTTTATGAGTTATATATTTCGCCAAGGTCGTTTTTATGAGTTATATATTTCGCCAAGTTCGTTTTTATGAGTTATATATTTCGCCAAGTTCGTTTTTATGAGTTATATATTTCGCCAAGTTCGTTTTTATGAGTTATATATTTCGCCAAGTTCGTTTTTATGAGTTATATATTTCGGCCAAGTTCGTTTTTATGAGTTATATATTTCGCCAAGTTCGTTTTTATGAGTTATATATTTCGCCAAGTTCGTTTTTATGAGATACATTTTGGCCAAGTTCGTTTTTATGAGTTATATATTTCGCCAAGTTCGTTTTTATGAGTTATATATTTCGCAAAGTTCGTTTTTATGAGTTATATATTTCGCCAAGTTCGTTTTTATGAGATACATTTTGGCCAAGTTCGTTTTCATGAGTTATATATTTCGCCAAGTTCGTTTTTATGAGTTATATATTTCGCCAAGTTCGTTTTTATGAGTTATATATTTCGCCAAGTTCGTTTTTATGAGTTATATATTTCGCCAAGTTCGTTTTTATGAGTTATATATTTCGCCAAGTTCGTTTTTATGAGTTATATATTTCGCCCAGTTCGTTTTTATGAGATACATTTTGTCCAAGTTCGTTTTTATGAGTTATATTTTACGGAGTTACGGAGTTTTATGAAGTTACGGAGCCCCTAAAGTGACATCCAAAATTATTTTTTTATCTCGTGCGCACGACATAGTATCTCGTGCGCACGAGATAATTATCACGTGCACACATATATCTCGTGCGCACGACATATGTCTCGTGCGCACGACATATATCTCGTGCGCACGAGATAATAATAAGTATTAACGGAGCTTGCTGCATGTGCAGCGGACGAGTTTGTGTGTAACGAAAGCAGCGTGTCAGTTACGGAGCCCCTAAAGGGACATCCAAAATTATTTTTTACCTCGTGCGCACGACATAATATCTCATGCGCACGACATAATACCTCGTGCGCACGATTTAATATCTCGTGCGCACGAGACATATGTCGTGCGCACGAGACATATGTCGTGCGCCCTACATAATATCTCGTGCGCACGACATAATTATCTCGTGCGCACGACATAATTATCTCGTGCGCACGACATATATCTCGTGCACACGACATAATTATCTCATGCGCACGAGAAATTTGTCGTGCTCATAAAAATATCTCATAAAAATGAACTTCGAGAAAATGTATCTCATAAAAACGAACTTCGTCAAAATGTATCTCATAAAAACGAACTTCGGTATCGAAATATATAACTCATAAAAACGAACTTGGCGAAATATATCTCATAAAAACGAACTTGGCGAAATATATCTCATAAAAACGAACTTGGCGAAAATATATCATAAAAACGAACTTGGCGAAAATGTATCTCATAAAAACGAACTTGGCGTCAAAATGTATCTCATAAAAACGAACTTCGAGAAAATGTATCTCATAAAAACGAACTTCGTCAAAATATATCTCATAAAAACGAACTTCGAGAAAATGTATCTCATAAAAACGAACTTCGTCAAAATGTATCTCATAAAAACGAACTTCGTCAAAATGTATCTCATAAAAACGAACTTCGTCAAAATGTATCTCATAAAAACGAACTTAGGGAAATATATAACTCATAAAAACGAACTTGGCGAAATATATAACTCATAAAAACGAACTTGGCGAAATATATAACTCATAAAAACGAACTTGGCCAAAATGTATCTCATGGCGAAATATATAACTCATAAAAACGAATTTGGGAAATATATAACTCAAAAAAACGAACTTGGCGAAATATATAACTCATAAAAACGAACTTGGCGAAATATATAACTCATAAAAACGAACTTGGCGAAATATATAACTCATAAAAACGAACTTTGCGAAATATATAACTCATAAAAACGAACTTTGCGAAATATATAACTCATAAAAACGAACTTGGACAAAATATATACTTGATGGCACTACAGGGCTTTCGTACCTACTCATACTACTCTTGTTTAATTATTTTAAACACATTGAAGATGCATCGTCCGTCCTCTTCAACATATTCGATTTTTTCTTAATTGACGCTTTATAAAATTTAATTTATCTTAACACAATACGTGTTCTAAAATGTTTGTTGCTTTTTGCGCGTGTACATTATCCACACCCGATCAGGTGACGAACACCCGACCCGACTATTCACCACTAAACATTCTAGGCTTTTAAGATTATGCATGTATAAATAAATTGACCATGAAACCAAGTCTTCAATTTTAGGCATTTGGACAGAGGTAGCCTAATTGCCTCTGTGCGGATATTTGCCTGGCCTGCAAAAAAAAATGTGCTTAAAAGCTTAACGAGTAAACACAATTCTAAACACTTTTTGTATTAACTATAACCTCATTCTAAAAAAGTGTAGCATGTAAACATGTTTACAAACTGATAGCAAGAAAGTGTTAAGAGGCAATCAGGCTACCTTTGTCCCAATGCCTTTGTCCCGAAAACTTGGTCCCATGGTCATTTCTTGGAGATTTACTCATTACTCTGTGAAAAAATTATCAGATTTTGACGTTTGATGTTTCATTGTAAAGTGGAAAGGTGTATCTTTCAAACCATACCTATGTAATGGGTAGTATGTGTAAAAACTAGCAAATGCTGAGAAGTTTAAACAAAAAGGAAAAGCATTTACTTTGGAGTATAAGCATTGAGGAAAAGCAAATGCTTGATTCCAAAAAGTTTTCCTTTACTGTTCAGTTTACTAGACAACAGGTAGCAAATGATTGTCAACAATAGGGTCTCTTTTGTGTGTACGAACTGCCACACACAGGTAGGGTTTACAGGTAGGGTAATTGAGTCCAGTTTAAGGTGATGCATACTGAACATGTACATGTAGTAGTACCTTTGATTCTCAAATCCTTCAAAAACGATGACACTTTTTTAGCCAGCTGCAGAATACAGAAAGTATACTTTCATCATTCATGAAAATTGTGAAGGTCCACGGTGTCCTGTAGACGTCAAAATTGCATTAAAAAAATCATAAAATCGTGTTAAAGTGGGTAAAATCAAACCAAAATTCAATACACACAGAGTTTTGTTTATTGAAATATCAAAAAATAAGATTTGTGACCTAATGAACTGAAAACTGATTTCATTTCGTTCAGTCCCTAGGGTGCCGTTGGATACAATTTCTCCTTAATCATTCTATACCGCACTGAATTTTTCGCCAACGCTTCTCATGTCGTGAACAAAATGCGAATTATAGTTTCTCCCAGGAATGAATTTAATAATAAAAACATTTCAATTTCGCATAAATGTTACACAAAATACAGTGTATGGTTGTAGTTAAATAATAACCCTAACAGTCCTGAATCCCCCCATTAACACAAAACGTCAAGCCTAACTCCCTAGGGGGTGTGCAAAATCATATGATTTTGCACACCCCCTAGGGAGTTAAGGTTGACGTTTTGTGTTAATTTTTGCGCGATTAATATCAATAAATGCAGGAGTTTGTGCGCAG